GCTTTGATATCCAGCAGATGGAAAATGGATTGCTGAAGGTTTTCAAATTATAACAAAGTAAACGTACGTGCCCCAGATCAGATCGCAGAAGAAACCCGCAACGCCTACATGTAGAAAGGTGGCAAGAACCCATTTGATCTGAACTCTATCACAGAGATAAATGAGTTCCATTCGTGGAATAGTTCCAGGCATTCGTAGGTCAAAAGGGCAAACTTAAAGCATCTAGTTATCAGTTGCCGCTTTGTAAAATCTAATACAAGACGGCTGACCAGTCTGTACGGATATGATGACGTCATGTTGGCAACCATATCACTTGCTATCGCGTCACAATTAATCCTGTTCTCTGTTTCGCTAGGGTCTGAGGGTAAACGAGAACAGATCTGAAGGCTGGATCTAAATTTATCACACACAAATATTTCACGAAACATAATTTCAAATGCGAAATGTCGAACATATGTCACGAGAGTTGTTGAGTGGGAATTTGACAACGTGAGGCGAAATACTTATTATATTACGGATCTTATACTGTACTTATATTGCTTTAACTTCCATACACAAAGTGTGTCCTCAAAGCGCTACCTTATTACCCCAGTCAATGGATGTGTACACTACAACCAAAGCTGCCTGTGAGGCGCAAGAGATTTAAGTAATCCTACCATCTCATCCCACCGGGTACCCATTCAATGCTGAGTTAATGGAGACAATATTTAAGGAAGTCATAGTGTTACATCTTCGTTTGTACCAACAGAAGCTGCATTGTCTGAAAATATTAAAAAAGACATAGATGTAACGCAATGTGGTAAACACCCAGTATTATCCGAAAGCTGCTTCGTTTAAAAAACCTAAGGTTGTTTTGATTGATTATGACTGACGACAAACACGCTTAATGGTGAATTAATGCCTCTTTAAACCCCTTTGTCGATTATCATCAGATTGATTATCACCAAAAATTACGTCTTCTGGCTTTCCTTCATAATAATTCAAGACAATATGTTTTTACCTGTCACAACATGAAGATATATATTTCACTCTAATGACAATGCATGAAATCTGTCAATCCAGAATTAACGCACAACTAATCTGTATATATACCATATACCAATCATTATACAACTGAAAAGGCTCAGACACTGTTGTAGGTTAAGGACATACCTAAGACGTGAAACCGGGAGAGTTTGTTGATGCTAGGAATGGGTGAAACGGTACGCTCTTATCACGGTACGTATTGCGGTACAGGGCCTTCAGTTTGGTCCGTTTTGGGTCGGTATATGAGAACTTACTTCCGGGGAAATAGCGACCGTCTAGCAAAGAAATGCATAGAGTTGGACAAAATGATTCGATTTCTAGACATTTTAGAATTTTTTTTAAAAAGTTAATAAAATGACGGTAGGAAAACCGAAAATACTGAATTTGTGGACCGCATTACGGTATACCGAACCGAAGGCAAAACACCGCAATTCTACTAATACCGGCTGTATATACCGTTTCACCCCTAATTTGGTAGGTACAAGTGAATATGTTTAATTTAAGAACAAACCAAATCCGTTGGGTTTTTTTTCGAATGATATGTATTGTCTTTATACTAACCTATGAGCGCCGGTATCATACACTAAACATTGCACAAGCGTAGTCTGTTTCATTATCTTCGCTTTGGAGCACTTGGTAACTAATTTTTACAAATTAAATTGCGTTTCTATCATTATGTCAGATAGCGGATGTCTATATTTATAGATTGGTTCATCCTTGCGACAGCCATGATGATATACAGTCCAGCTGATAGGACCCAACTAGAAGGTTATCTTTATGGGCATGAAGGTGCCAATTCCTACCGTCGGGAAGACCTACTGAATAAGCATATTTAATACAAATGAATACATTTTCTGTCAAACATATTGAATATGCATTCATCCCTCTGTGCTCTTAACTTGCTCTACATTGTAAATCTGGTTCCAGTTTCTAGATACAGATGGACTAACGCACACAATGTTTTACTGTTTTCGGGACCTGATGAGCAAATATCTCGGGGCGGCTGCCTGAAATATCCAGACACAATCGTAGGCATCTCGAAAGACATGAAACACATGCATGGAATACTAGGAAAGCTTGATTGCTTTACTCTTACACTAACGCTGCGTACAGGAATTTTACTCATTAGGTTTGATTAGGATAACATGGAAAGGACTAATATATAAATAATAAAAAGCATATGCATTGAAGCTTTAATAGGCTTACCACAAGACCAACGAGTATTCATGCCATTTATTTAATCACTTCAGCACTTTAGACCGCCATTGCATGTATGTTCGAAAGGTTAAACTGATTCACTTTCAATAAAACCAAACATATTTTTTCTCAATAACCCGAATGCTTTGATATCTAGCATGTTGCATGAAATTAATTTGGTATTTTCAAAGGTTGTGAAATTATAAAGTAGGTGTCCAAAATCATATCTTGCAAGAAACCTTCAACGACTTGAAATAGAAGGGTGGCAAGAACCCATTAGATCTGAACTCTATCAAAGAAATAAATGAGTCACTTTTCCATTCGCGGATGCGTTCAATGTATTAGAGGGGCACAGTGGTTCCAGCTTTCACACCAGTCAGCGCTTTGCCGTTTCCATTATATCGTTATGGACAGGGCTGTACCGCTAGAGGGAGAACTAGAACAAAGTGTCCCCAGGGTTGGGACAAAAGGTCGAAATGGTCTTTGATTAATCTTTAGTGCACATTTATGGCATCGTTAACACACTGGGCTGACCCACTGATGAAAGTGATGAGATTACAGATTGTCGTCGAATCATCCCGAGAAACATGTCAACATTTCAGCATGGCTTTTAGCATAGTGGGGTGTTTATTGCTTACACAATTATACAAACATTGATAACAATATACAATATTTTCTGTTTCCCATAGTCTGTGTAACCGTATAAAGTTGTAGTCCGGAGAGCAGGTTATATCAAAAGATATTAACATATGGTGCTTGCTACTCTGTCATTCTACTAATGAAGGGAAAAAGATGGACCGGTCGAAGTCAGCTCGAAGTGAGGATGCTGAGTATGAGAGGGGTAGTAGTGTTGAACTGAAACTGGGCTACCTCAGTATAATCTGACTGCCTTGATTAGTACAAGCAGCCATATATACACATTCAAACACAAACATGCACGCCGCAGTGTAAGTGCAACAGCATCGAACGTTGCCCTAATCTCAATTACACCGCACATCACCGGACCTCACCTGAAACTACTAAAATGAAACGCGGTAAATGTATGTGACTGAAGATAAATGCAGCTATATTTCAACATATATGCGATCTGTTGAACCCTTGCTGACTAGTAATCGTGACACTATCTGTGTGATAGAGCCTAATTGTAGCGACAGTACCCTCAGTTTAAATACCTGTCACGTACATGTATACTCTCCAAGTCCAAGATATGCTGCTATGACCCTCCTGCATGTATATAACAACGTAATCCTATCGGTATCGGAGCGCCCGAATATTTTGTCACCATAATGTTTGCGCATCGCCACACTATCCGTGTTGGAGATCTTAAATGGCTTGCTATGGTACCTGTGTGTATTTATAGACCTATAATCGACACATTATCCATGTTAGAACGGTTAAATGGCTTGCTATGGTACCTGTGTGTGTATATATAGACCTATAATCGCCGCACTACCCATGTTAGAACGGTTAAATGGTTTGCTATGGTACCTGTGTGTATATATAGACCTATAATCGCCACACTATCCATGTTAGAACGGTTAAATGGCTTTCTGTGCTAACTGACTGAGTGTGCTTTTACGCCGCTTTTAGCAATATTCCAGCAACATCACGGCAGTGGACACCAGAAATGGGCTTCACACATTGTACCCAAGTGGGGATTCGAACCCGGGTCTTCGGCGTGACGAGCCAACGCTTTAACCACTAGGCTACCCCACCGCCCCTATCCATGTTAGAACGGTTAAATGGTTTGCTATGGTACCTGTGTGACTGTATATATAGACCTATAATCGCCACACTATCCGTGTTGGAGATCTTAAATGGTTTGCTATGGTACCTGTGTGTGTATATATAGACCTATAATCGCCACAATATCCATGTTAGAACGGTTAAATGGCTTTCTGTGCTACCTCTGAGTATATATGAACGTATCATCGCCACACTATCCATGTTAAAACGGTTAAATGGTACCACTGTGTGTGTATATATAGACCTATAGTCGCCACACTATCCATGTTAAAGTGTCCATGTTAGCGTTGGTGCATCTGTATATACCACCGCCACACTGTCTATTTAAGCGCATCTGAATGCGTCTCACCCCATGACAGTCACACTATATTTGACAGAACATCTGCAGGATTGTCACCGTAAAGGTCGTCAGATTCGTTGTCATGAGAGAATAAACTTGTTTATCTACTTAGCCTTTTCAACGTCGTGGGTCTCATATTTAATGTGCCTGCAGATCAAAACTGCTTAATAATTCAGTGAAAAACAACCTGAAGGAGTGCCTCATAGTTGCAAACGTGAGGAAGCCCCTTATGTCCGGTACGGTACACAGCACACAGAGATTTTATCGATGAATTGGTGACATTATAATTCAAAAACTATTTTCATAAAGGTTGTCACAATTTCAGTAACAAATATATCGGCACATTCGATTTCCTCCAACTGCATCCATATAAAAGATAAATAAAATTGCAGCTTGCTGACGTTACTTCGGAATCGAACAACAGAGCTTTCTTAAAATTGTGGAAATGATTCTGTTCTGTGCGCTTGTACATTTTCGTCCTATGAAGATATATCCTTTCCAAAGCCCAATCCTGAATATGAAATCAGATATATTCTCTTGCATAAACCACCTTTCTTGCAATCGTTTAAATATGTAATTACATAAATAGAAATCATAGAAACGTGAAAACTTTTATATATTTGATCCTTTGGTCTTTATAAGCAAGAATTATTAATCTATCAATCAGTTTGAAAATATGTGTTCAGTTTACCTTCTGGTTATCCAAGATCACCTTTCCCTGAAACCACTTTGCACAGAAAAGAACGTCGGGTTTATACATCCGATTAAACTATATAATCCTTCTGCTGTAGTCGAATCCACTCGCGTTACTAGAACGCTTCGAGAAAATAGCTTCCGAATAATCCCAATTTTGTTTTCTTCCAGTTAATATTGATCGGCACCACAGTTAAATCAGTAGCCGTAAACAGGTAATCCTCAGAATATCAGGAACGGTTCAAATCAGAAAGTTGATACAACTCATACAAGTTGCAAGAAAGTTGTGTAGCGGCCGAGCTCGAGGAGCAGCGCTCGCGTCAGTCCGTGCGCTCGTTCTCACACAGTCATACTGCTGTGGCTGCGTGGCTGCTTCACGGACCGATGGTAAAGTCGATTCAACCCGAGCAGCATTGGCTCAGTCAATGAGGCTAGAAGGCTACCTGATCACTCGTACTGTTCAATAGGCGCTGGCACATCGCATCTTCTACTTGTTTGCACAGCGCTGGATAGATACGGCGGGGGACGGGGATACAGCCCAAATGATATATAAGAGAGATCACACACACACCGGATTAAATAATTATTGATTTAGGACCGCATCGCAAATATTTGATACTGCCCTCTTAGTTGTAAGGTTATTCCAATGGAAAGTTTGAATATTCTTTGTTTAAATTCTCTGTGTACATTTACACATGTTAATCAAGTAGCTTATCAATGACGCTTCAGCAATCAAACCTTCCCTTTAACCTCATCAGACCTACAGTGTTCCCGAAATTTACCGCATCCAATATTTCGACTTTGACATATCGCAACCAAATTTCCACCACTGTGTAACCATGCCTTTACTCCAACCATATTATATCCAAATTACAACATCATGTGACACCACACCATCGGATCAACTGCATGGCAACCACATCATCGCCTCAACCGCATGGCAACCACGACATCGGCTCAACCGCGTGGCAACCACATCGTCTCGACGGCATGACAACCACATCATCGGATCAACCGCATGACAACCACATCATCCTCTCGACCGCATGACAACCACACTGAAACCTCAACCGCATGACAACCACAACATCGGCTCAACCGCATGGCAACCACGACATCGGCTCAACCGCATGACAACCACACTGACACCCAAACCGTATGACAACCACACTATCGGCTCAACCGCATGACAACCACACCATCGGATCAACCGCATGGCAACCACTTTATCGCCCCAGCAGCATGGCAACCACTTTATTGCCCCAGCAGCATGGCAACCCCTTATCGCCCCCTTAGCAGCATGGCAACCACTTTATTGCCCCACCCAGCAGCATGGCAACCATCTTATCGCCCCAGCAGCATGGCAACCACTTTATCGCATCAGCAGCATGGCAACCACTTTATAGCCCCAGCAGCATGGCAACCACTTTATCGCCCCAGCAGCATGGCAACCACCTAATGGCCCCAGCAGCATGGCAACCACTTTATCGCCCCAGCAGCATGGCAACCACTTTATCGCCCCAGCAGCATGGCAACCACTTTATCGACTCAGCCGCATGGCAACCACTTTATCGCCCCAGCAGCATGGCACCCACTTTATCGCCCCAGCAGCATGGCAGACACTTTATCGCAATCACATCATAACCACTGACACCATGGCCACAACAACATCATAACCACTGACACCATGGCCACAACCACATCATAACAGCTGACACCATGGCCACAACCACATCATAACAGCTGACACCATGGTCACCACAACATCATAACCACTGACACCATGGCCCCAACCACATCATAACAGCTGACATCATGGCCACAACCACATCATAACAGCTGACACCATGGCCACAACCACATCATAACAGCTGACACCATGGCCACAACCACATCATAACAGCTGACACCATGCCCACAACCACATCATAACACCTGACACCATGGCCACAACCACATCATAACAGCTGACACCATGGCCACAACCACATCATAACAGCTGACACCATGGCCACAACCACATCATAACAGCTGACACCATGGCCACAACCACACATAATCATGGCCACAATCACATCATAACAGCTGACACCATGCCCAAAACCACATCATAACCACTGACACCATTGCCACGACCACATCATAACAGCTGACACCAAGCCCACAACCACATCATAACACCTGACAACATGGCCACAACCACATCATAACTGCTGACACCATGGCCACAATCACATCATAACCACTCACACCATGGCCCCAACCACATCATAACAGCTGACACCAAGCCCACAACCACATCATAACAGCTGACACCATGGCCTCAACCACATCATAACCACTGACACAATCACTTCATCCACACCATTTTCTCACCAATATGATAAACAACTTTCGCCTGAATCCCGTCCTAGATATAGCATCTGTCGAAAAGCATACAAATAGGCTGCAGTCCGCCTCTACAGCAGCATGTACAACACTGGTGCCTACAGCCACATCATACATCCGACCTACATCACGTCCGGGGCATTAACACTGCCTCCTAACACCCATGGCTACAACAAAACACAATTACACCATGTTGTCGAGACCATTTAGCAGTATATAATTTCAGGCTAAATTCGTACAAACATTCACGCAGCCGCTTACACACTCGTTTTATGCACATTTATTCTGGTTTACTACAACACTGTACAAGTAAACCAGACGCACGCGTGTACGAAAGCCAAAGAGCATCCTGAGCTGTGTACTCTGACTTGGCGAATCTATATCTACGCACCATTTGAAACTCGCAACGCCCTTCCACGTTTGATAACGTGTGTGACTTGGAGGTGAAGGATACGACAGCCAAAGCAAATCTCTTCCTGTTTTGTATGTGATTTAGTCCTTCGCAACTCAAAAGTTTAAATACCCCCGCCAGTTACATCCTCTTTATAAAGAAAGTGTTTACACACCGCTCGAGGTTTCTTCTCTTCGATAGGGAAAGTCACAAAGTTTCAAAGAGATATATAACAATATCTGAAAAAGTGAAGTGCATTTGAGTGTTTTCAGCACCAGACAAGGAAGTGTTTAGATCTCATGAAAGGCCATTTGTCACCATAAACTGAAATATCCAATGGACCAATTGACAGTGTGCCAGGACAATGATTGAACCAAGGATGTATTAATAACAAAGTCATGTTATGTCCTGGCAAAAGTGTTGTGACTATTTATAAATTGATATGCTTACATAGAGCAAAACGTGTTCTTTGAAGAGTAACTGAAAATATGTCATATTCTCGGCCGTATATGAGGTCCTTTGCAACGTTTAACTAACTACAAAATGATTGCCTTCTGTCAAACAACAACGTGTTAAATGGTAGTTCAAGGAGAACAATGGAGATTGTCACAGAAGTGTCAGTTATGTTGGGTCATATTGATTTTCCCTTGAGACAATCGTCTAATCAATGTTTTTTGTGTCCAGTCACCTTGAGAATAGATTGCCATGTATGCATCGATCCAAGTAGCTCTTAAAATCGTCAACGCCAGAGAATGACCAATTTCGATTATTTGCCGAAACAGAGTCCATTGGGTGGAAAAGTCAAAATAGCTGTTGCAATTATATGAATGGATCACTGACAATCAGTTATGACAACTGGAGTTCGCGGAAAGGGTAAAGCATGTCCTGCTCAACCGGTAGCACCAGCAACATACAGTGTGAATAAAAATGTATTATTGTTGTTGTTGGCTGAGACCTTTCATCAGTATTCTTGCTGTACAATAAGTGTACATGCATTCAAGCAATCGTGTACTTATACTCCCTCGATGAGTTCAGCACGAACATGACACCAACGTATCGGGGTTATAAAGATTGTTATCTTACCTCATACATAAATGTCGCTTTCTGATTAGCTGAGCACTCTCCTGTTATTTTCAATGTACCCCGCTTACAAGCGAGTAATATTTCAATGCACAACGCTGTAAATGGCAACTCATTCTGTACTTCGTGGTAGTAATTCTTTATCTCGAATAACATTGAATCGAGGCTCATCGGGCTCAGGGAACATAAACAAACATCGAGGGTACATCAACCCATGCCCCCTTCGTGACCAGTGAACAACTTATAATGTACGTATTATCTTGCATCAATACACTGGGGTTTGAGGTCATCAGAGGTCGAGTGCCTTGGCCACGTTACCAGATTCCACTACCTTCAGAGGTCAGCTACGTTAGTAGAAAGCTGATATCGTATGTCAGAAACATATACAGATTTGATTATATCTGTTCATCAATCGTAAAACTTCAGGTCCTTGTGTATCACAGTCATAATCAAAACACATGAGGTGAGGTGAAATGGGGTTTAACGTCGTACTTGAGAATATTTCGCTCATATGACGACGTGCATGCGTGTGTATGTGTGACTGCTTCCTCTAGCCCAGACATAAGCTGGTTTTATAGTGCTAGCTCACTGAGATATCATGCCGCAGTTAAGCATGAATACCCCACTCGGACACATTATACTGACTCCGAGACGACCAGTCCGTGTTGTTCCCATTAATGCCGAGACAGGGACCAACTAGTACCATATTTTAACGTCTTTTGGTATGACGCGGTCGGGGATCGTACCCGCGAACTTCCGCTCTCCGGGCGGACGCTCTAACCACTACACCACGGAGGCGGTTTTCAAAACACTTGAAGGTTATCATATAAATTGTAAATCTACTACTCAACGTGTGATATGAGATACATCCCACTACTGCATATACACATTATGAATAATACTATAGATGTGGCGGCTAAAAACCCCGAAAAATGCAACAAAAATGCAACTAAAACACAGGTATCTCCCTTTGGCAGGCATATTGCAGTTTGGACGGAAAGACGGAGGTGATGCATGTGAAGTGCTGGGATTATGTCCCATGTGTAGTGTAAATACTGCTGACAATGAACTATATGTGGTAATGCAGTGTCCCATGTATACTGATTTACGTTTTAACTTTAAATGTCCGGCATGTGATGCATATGAAGTGTTGTGATGTGCACAAGTTATGCTTTTTACTATATAATAAAAATATAGTAAATCATTCCGTCAAAGCCTTCTTGCGCCAATTTTAGCGTCTGTCTGTCTGTGACATAATACTTCGGTGAAATACACGAAACCACTAGCCAATTAAATTCAAATTAAATCGGAGATTATTTTTATGCCGAGTCAGTCATGAAGCTAATTTAAAACCGCTTGTAAATTATTGAATCCTGGAGCAGACAAACGATCAGTTAATGGCTGATTTTATGCACTTAGTTAAACTCCAAACACAACCAATCCTTCAACCCACAGCAATCAGCAT